CCCCAAAACCCCAAAACCCCAAAACCCCTTAAGAAGGATGATTAAATTTTTATATCCAGTCATAAATCAAGATGTTTGGGCAAGTATTTAAGAAGTATCTAAAACCTACTAAAAAGATGCAAAATCTCACTGATATTTCAAAGCGAGGATTTGCATCCAACTGGTTTGGAGGAAACAATACAGGAGCTAAAATCGATCCAAGGCAGAAGAAATTCAACGAATTCTTGAAAAATGTTGCAGATTATGAAGATAACTTGGACGATAACCTCCATCCTTACTCGAAGGAACAAGGTCCTCTTGCAGGTTTTGCTACCGGTGAAGGCACTATGAAATATATGGAAAGGAACAATGACATAATTCCCGAGGAGAACTTCAAGACACCTTTTAACTCAGACTTAAAGATCTCTAGCTTAGGTGTGGGCACCTACGTGGGAGCCCCTGACGATGAGACTGACTATTATATGTACAACGGGATCAAGACTAGCGTCCTTAGTGGAGGAATCAATATGATCGATACAGCAATTAACTACAGATATCAGAAATCTGAAAGAGTTGTAGGAGCAGTTCTAGATTCCTTGGTAAATAAGTACGGATATACAAGAGATGAATTCTTTGTTGCCACCAAAGGCGGCTTCATAGCAGACGATTCCCAAAACGGGATTCCTGGAAGAATCATCATTGAGGATTTGATCAGTGAGGGAAAGCTGAAAAAGGAAGATGTAATTCAAGGTAACATTCATTGTATCCATCCAGCATTTTTGGAGAAACAGCTTGATCTCAGTTTGAAAAATATGAACCTTGAAACAGTTGATCTTTACTATCTACATAATGCCTATGAGATGCAAGGACCCAACCATTCAAGTGATGTGGTTATGGATAGACTTGGAGCAGCTTTTGAATTCCTAGAATCAAAGGTTGAAGAAGGGAAAATCAAAAACTACGGAATGGCAACCTGGTTATGCTTCAGAGCACAACCTAGTGAGGAAAAGATATACTTAAATTTACAAAAGGTAGTAGAAATGGCAGAAAAAGTTTGCGGCAAAGATAATCATTTCAATTATATTCAAGCTCCAATCAATGTAATGATGGCAGAAGCTTTTGTTGAACCATGGCAAGAGTTTACTGAACAAAAGGGAGATGAAACTGTCACTACTAAAGAAATGTTAGTAGCTATCTGTAATATCCTGGAAATCAACTTAGTATCTTCTCAGCCTCTATTCCAAGGAAAGCTAGCAGGGCTTAGTTTGCCAAATCAGATGGGAGTTGAAAATGTAGCTGCACGTCATTTACAATTAATCCGGTCAATTCCTACAAGATGACTTCTATCAACTCTTGTTGGAATGAAGGATTCAAAAAATGTGAAGAATAACCTTGAAGTTGTTAAGAAGCCATTAATGACGAAGGAAGAATGGTTTGATGTTCTGCAGCCACAAAAAAATCCAGGAAATAATATTGAAAAGAAGTCATAAATTCAATCTTGGGTGAAAAGATAGGGGTTTTGGGGTTTTGGGGTTTTGGGGTTTTGGGGTTTTGGGATTTTGGGGTTTTGGGG